ATACTGTACCCTGTGATGCCTCATCTTGCATTTGATTCAGGATTATGGAGCAGCATGTTTTGATAATAAGCAGAAGGATCACAGATAACAGTCTGAGTGAATCATTGGGCTATGTTTTGTCTGGGAAAGTGTATTTATCTGAAGGGCTCTTGGGACTAATATGGTTCCTCTTCAAAACTTGAAGCAAGGGACAAAAATCCTAGTCCTGGAGGTTGGCAGGATGAACACATCTTGTGATTTCCTAGCATTTTGAGAGATGGCTTTCACTACAGAGCATGCTCTTGTTGTCCGGTTGGAAGTGCCTGTCTGAGAATGAATTCATGTGCACACAGCTCCAGACAAAAGGGACCCTCTTTAAAATGTCAGGCCATAGCGTTTTAAGGCCAGTTGTTTCCAATATGGGCCTTATATCAGGGAACTGAGACTGTGTACCAGTTTGACTGCAAAAATAATCCCACATTTTTACAGGCATAGGTACTATAATTGTGCCTTCGTTTTTTATGTGGACACCTGCCTTGTGGTTGCAAGCGAGTTTGCTTTTCTATCAAGGGCTCTCTTTATGCGGTTAGGTTTGTGCGGGATGCTCTTTTTCAAGCTCAATGTAAGGACTCAGTGCGGAGCTCATATTCGAGGAGCAGGAAGGGTGAAGCCAAGTCAAGAACAAAAGTCTACGCATCAGTGAGCAGTGTATAAATGCAGCAGAGGAGATAAGTGCCGTACATACTCCGGAGGGAGGGAGTGAAGCAGGGCTGCAGAATCAGCAATGCATTTCAAGCTTAGCATGGGGAGTGACAAAGGCTGAAAGCAAGGGGTGAGAACATTTCCATGGCTCTGTGTGAAAGATCTTTGTGAAGGGATGGGTGCCATCAGTCATTGCTAATAATTAGCAGATGGAATAGAGGCAAGACAAAAAGGCTAGGAGCCTGGATCTCCACTCGTTTTAACCAACATAATCCAGGGATAAATTCCTTTGAAGACAAAGGAGTTACATTAGTGTAACTAAAATATAAGGGAAAAAAACGTCCAGACTGGTCGGTGACTCCTTGGGAAGAGTGAGAGAAACTGAGAGGCAGACACCAGCATGCAGGCATGTTAACAAAGGTGCATCCCATAGAAAAATTCAAGCCAAGTCACCTTCATAGTAAATGCTCCCTTGTAGCCTCACAGGACACACCTCGAGTTCTGCTCCAAAGGCAGGTGCCTCTACGGGGCTGAGGCAACAACCAGCTTTAGGGGCCCATCATATTGATCCACTCCATTGAACTCAGTGGGAGCTTTATTTCATTTCAACATCAAGCCTGTTCAGAGGAATCTCTCCATTGCTAACCACAGACTTCCTTGACTTCAATGGATTTTGGCCCAGGCCCTTAAATTTATTTTAGATTTGTGTAGTTAAAACAGCATAGCCAACAGAACTACACAGGGTATTGAACAGGCCTTCAACATACAAGCAACTAGAAGTACCCTTGTTGTCATAGGGTCACGGAGAAGTAGGGCTGGAGGGGCCCTTCGGAGGTCATTCAGTCCAACCCCCAGCCTGAGACAGGATCATCCGTATCCAAACTATACCATACAACCATAATCTAAACTCTATGTAAGACTGCCATCAACCCTGACACAACATAGACCTAACACCCTAGCCTGCCACAAGCAAATCTGGGGAACCGCAGTGGCCAATGTCCTGCTTCTATAAAATGATGTCTATATGCTCAAGAGGTCTCAAGTAGCAGTCCACACACCCTGCTACAGAGGAAGGCAATTAAGACCCCTACAGTCTATACCAATCTGCCCATGGGGGGAAATTTCTTCTTGACTACAAACATGGTGATTGGTCCAAACTTAAGTGGAGGGGCAAGACCCTCTAGCCTAGACCCTCCATCTCTGTTTCTAGCAGGAGAATCAGCATATCCCTGTTGAAGTCCCCAGCCTTGGCTGTAGCCAACATCCAATGTCTCTGGGAAGTCTGAAATAAACCTCGACACATATAGGAGAAAAAAGGGGCTGGAGGACAGGAGTAAGCTGAAGTCCTAGACCCAAAACGTTACTTACTTACATGATTTAATCTTTTTCAGTCTCTATATCCCATGCTGTCTAGACTTCATTATTTTTTGCTTGATCATAACACTTTATTACTCCAGTGCTAGTGGTGTTCCTTAAAATAGTGCAACAAATTCCCCCAAATCTGTATTTACCTGCATATTCATCTATGAAGTTGGAAAATGTGGAAGAGGGGCCTGTAGTATATTCAAGGGAATTTGATGACAAATGGTAATATCTGAATGAATATGAACTTTCCTTTGAGTAGACATTTCAACATTTTCAATCTGTAATTTTTTTTTCAAAGGTAAACAATTCTTCAATTCAATTCAATTTCCCCTCCAACAATTTAATACAAGAAAATGGCTTTTAAAGATGTTTCTAAACAAAACAAAAAAGCTGTCTTTTGTCACAGAAAAAAAGTAGGACTTAAGTTTTGGCCTGAAAAAAAAATTAAAGGTAATTTTAAAAATCAACAATTTTGTATGAGGGGTACTTCAGGAGAAATAGTAAATTAAAAATGCCTGATCACAAGGCATACTGAAAAGCTGATAGATAGATAGATAGATAGATAGATAGATAGATAGATAGATAGATAGATAGATAGATAGATAGATAGATAGATAGATAGATAGATAGATAGATAGATAGATAGATAGATAGATAGATAGATAGATAGATAGATAGATAGATAGATAGATAGATAGATAGATAGATAGATAGATAGATAGATAGATAGATAGATAGATAGATAGATAGATAGATAGATAGATAGATAGATAGATAGAGTGCTTACCCTGTCCCCATTAGGTGTCACTAAGAATATTTCACTCGTGAAGTTGCCCTCTTTGACCAAGGTAGCTTTTTCCCTCTGTCTAATTGATATTCTCTTTCTCCCATCTTCAGACCATACCAACTGAGGTCAAAGTATTGATACCCACTGGAAAGGCATGAAGACACGGAGAATGAAAGGAATCTGTTTCTGTTGCATTTTCCCTTATAAGATGAATAGTTTTGATCACAGTTTCTGTGGCCTGTGGGGCAAAAACCGCTTCTGCCTTGAGCCGCCCCTAAAGAGCCCCCTATAAAGAGGAAAAGGAGATCTGGGAATAAGGTGATGCCTTTCATCCTGCTTTCCTTTCCTCACCTCAAATGCAGCGATTTGAGCAGATTATATCCAATTTATCCTTTGATCTGCACCTTAAAATATGAATGCAAGTATTTTGCTGTGTAGGGCCACAGCAAATCTGAGTCCCAGAAGGGAGCATTGTTAGCTGTATTAAGAGATGCCACAACAGGCATATGCTGCCGTACATAAAGAGATCTGGCAGAGCACTCACACAGGGCCAATTCCTTCAGCAACTCCACAAAAAGGTTGGGGCTATCAGGCACAGTTGACACCTACTTCCGCATGAAATGTTGTTCTAATTTCCCAGAGAAGTGCATATTTGCTGGAGAGTCTGTGTCAAAGCTCTGCCTACCTCTAGTGATAGGATAGATTTAACATAAGAGGGATGGTAATTTGAGGGAGTCTTCCTCCTTGGAAGTGAGTTGAATTTCATAGGGAAATGGTATATCCATGAATAAACTTTGTGCAAACTGGAACCCAGATGATCTAAATGGACACAAGTCTAATTGGCAGGTGATCATCACTCCTCCAAATAACAGTTTCCAGCCGGGAGTTATCCAGAGGCTCGGGAAGATTGCACCAAACTTTCTAATCTTTTGCCTTGTGGAGAAGAGTTTTTTTCATAGCCACAAAACCACAAGCCATAGGAGTTGACACAATCTTGGTCTGGGTCCACCTATGCCGTGAGAAATGGAATATAATGAATCTAGCAAAGCTCAGGAGAAGAGAACCTGCCCCAGAGGTAGGATCAACAAAGGGAAGCACTGCATTACACAGAGAATTATTTTTTAGGGGTCTGCCTTATATGGTAGAAAGATGCGCCCCCTTTTTCATCTTCTTTTGCATTACTTTTTGCAAAGGTTTGAAAACATCACTCCTTGAAATGATGAAAATATGAAGATTTCATTTTTTATAAATGGCTAAAATGTAATATCTTCCATGTGGCAGGTATCCAGGATTTTTTTTAATGAAATCTTCATATTTTCCCAAGCAGGAAGCAACTGTGACCACCTGAAACTGGAAATCCTGCTTCTGCCTTTGTTGCAAGATAATTTGCCCCATCACAAATCCTCACAAGAGATGAGAGGCTCCAGAGCCACTATGAACTGACTGCCCAGAGGAGTTTTCCATTTCTTGACTCTTCTGTGAAATCCTATGAAATATGAACTCTCATTTCTACCCAGGAGAACTTTTACAATCTCTTCTCCAATGCCCGATGAAGGGTGTTTGTGCCTGAAAGTTTGCAATTATTATTATTTTTTTCTGTGTGCAAAAATCTTGCTGGTCTAATAAAAGATATCATCTCTACTATGAGTCCTGATTGCCACATGCATCTATACACTGTGTACATGTCTTTTCTGTTTCTTCTGACATAACCATCTGGCTGGACTTCAAGATATGGGACAAACAGACATACTTTTTATGATATATAATATATGTAGTTTATGATATATAATATATGTAGTTTAAAAGTATTGTTATCATGTATAGAGCAGAGATAAAAAGCAATATTAGGGTCAAATGTGTAATATTTTTTTCTGTATGCCCTTATTAAGTGCATTCTCTGCATGCTTAGGTGAACAACACTTTGCCACACCTATTATTGGACCTATTTTAGCATCTTGTTTATCTCCACTACTTATGGGACAAAGACATTATATTTCTGATGTGCCCCTTGATCCTGTCTCTCACTAATTCCCCCATGTTATGCTGAAACTGCTCCTTTTTTGTTTGAATAGTTAAGATTGCCTCCATCCCTATGACCCATATATTTGAGGTTAAGATCTTTGTTTTTTTCCTCAGAAAGAAAGGTTTACATTAGGAAACTACTCACCTGTCCAGCAGTGTCTAGAATGTCCAAATAAGCTGGTTCATCATCAATTCGGACTTGAGTTTTATAGGCATCCTCTGAAAAACACAGTGGAGTTTGGCTGAGCACAGGGATAACTTAAGGAATAGAAAAGGAAACACATTGGCATCTCTAGAGTGGGATTTTCAAAAGTCATCAATCCTGAGTCAGAGAAGGATTTTGGAAATCCCACCCTTTTTCCTAAAAATGTTAGAAGGAAATTCTGAAAAGGAGGAGTAAAGCCCTAGTATGCTGAATTGCATCCCTATCTAGAAAGTTAACTAACACCTAGGCAGTACTAGCAGTTTATTTACAGCCATTGCTAAAACAACACAATAAAATGGACAATAAAATTATGGAATAATAAGATTATATACTTTTTGGTTATTGGTGAAAGCATCCAATAAGATTACACATTCTGCCAATTTAAACAAAATTAAGTTATAGCATAGTAGGCAATGATCCAAAAATAGATAAAGTCAAGCAATGTAAAATGGTAGAGTACAAAAATTAAACTCAGGCAATTCAATTTGATGTGGGCCCCTATTCTTTGTGCAAGTAATGAAAATACACTTAAAGAGTAGAAGACAGACTGTAAATTGTGAGAAAGACGCCAGATTGTTTTTTCTTCATTAGCCCAGTAATTTAAAATTTTCTGCTAATGGAGAGATCTGTTTTTCTCTTATTTCTTCAAAGAATGAACACGACTATAAATAGAGGTTTAAGTCATCTATCTTATTCTTCCCTGTAGAACATATCTTGCCTGTACTTGGGTCTGACACCACCTGCCCCTAATATAATGCAGATCTGTTTAGAGTGAATCGCAATCTAGTAACGGCCTCTCATTGTTTGCAGTTTTGTGCTTCAGACAGACAGGTTGCAAAGCCAAAAGAGTGCTTTATTAATCTCCAAATGGAGAAGTTTGAGAAAATCTCACTATCTGCCCCTCTGTCTGCATGCAAGCATCTTTAATTCTTAAATGGGTATTTTGTTTTAAATAGAGGAGGAATCGTGGGTCAGTAACTGTCAGCACTGCCCAGGCGTTTGTCTGGAGGAGAACACCTGGCACCATGGTTAATAAAAAATACTATTTAACCATCCAAATAAGGGCTTATTTGAAAGAAGAGAGGCTTCTAAATTGCATGTCTTCAGGTATTTGATAGGGTATTTGATCCAATAATTCTGAGATTTCCCCTTGAGCTAAAGGGTTCAGCCCATGTTAAGCAGCCCTGTTTCAGATGGAATGAGCTCCCCATCGTAGAATTTGGTAGAGATAAGCGTCTCTTTAAAAAGTAATTAGAAATGCTTTTTATTTTGGGGAGAAACCATGGGGTCAGCACCCCATAGTTCCTTAGCACCCAGGCACCATTTAACCTGCAAGGTTTTATGGGCCTTTTTGCACAGAGGTGAACGTTCCTTATTATTTCATGCTTCCACATCAGGCCTTAATTTAAATCCTTCAAATTGCTAGGCAAAAGGACCTCCCAGGTAATGGGAAAGATTCCCATTGGTTGTACAAAGCTTAGGATCAGCCCCTTTTGTAGACATCAATTAAGTCTCTCAACATCCCTGGAAGGTAGGAGAATTGATTTATTTTTTAATAAAGCCTCACCCCGAACAACTGTGCCTTGTGGACCTTTCCATTTGCTCCTGGTTTGTTGAGCTAAATAATAAATAAATAAATGAGGGAAGGACTAATATTTGCGTAATTTGTTTTGCTCAGCTTTATATTTCATTCCCTTCTTGTTGTTTGTATTTCCTTGTTAAGGTTAAATGGAGCCTAGACGTCAGACAATATTTATACTGGAAATAGTCCTAGAAATTATCTGTGTTGTTTAATTAAACAATAATGCACAGCAGACTGAGTGGTTACGGTGATTGATGTTGTGCCTTGGCTGTGCAGTGAGGCATGAGGTGAAGACAAGTGCTTCCAATGCACCTGAGAAGTGTCATTAATCAGCATGAACATATGGCCAGCAGCATCCCATGGCTCACAAGCCCCTTACTGTCAGAGAAGGTTCAGGATCGGGCCCTTAATGGCATTACACTGTGGATCATGAAAATTATAATTAGCACATTCCAAAACGGTTCTTAGAGACATTACACTCCTCAGTTATACATAAAATGATAATAGCCTCTGGGAAAGGCTGCATTAAATGAGCATTGCAGCAGTTAAATAAAGCATTCACACATAAAGGAAGGCCAACGTGAACTTTGCCTGTGCACTTTTAACTTTGCCCCCTTCTGAGCACGCCTTGCCAAGCAGTTTTAATTACATGCTCACATACGAATCTTTCCTTGGGATCCGACCCTTTTTTCAGGCCTTAGTTCAGCAAAACGTTTGCACACATGCCTAATTGCCCATAAATAAGTAAACCTATTGACTTTGAGATAGGCTTAAAATTAAATGTGAACTGAAATATGCAAGTACAGAGAAAAGGCAATGGCGTTCTTTCCACTGGGTGTCAATTAGGGTCTTTGATGCCTAGTCTAGATAACATACAACAGGAAAGGCAGGCTACAATTTTAATTAGTCTGTTAGAACTAGGTGTGGGTATTTAACCCATCTAATAAAATGTGGTCAATTGGCCAGTCAAATATTGGTCCAAAATTGTAAAAAAAAAATGCCAATAGGTCCAAATAATACACAAAGAAAGCACCAATTTTCCATTTTGAAATGTGACAAAAAACAGTTAAAAAGTCATATTTCTGTCAAGAAAACTACAAAAAATATTGTAGTTTTAAAAAAGATTCTATAATGTTTGACCAGTCAAAAATAATTAGTCAATTGACCAGTCAGTCGGCAATGTTTGACCGGTCAATTGACCAGCAAGGCAACCCTAATTAGGGCAGGCCTGAAGAATTTGTGTTCAGTACAAATGATATCTTTCCACCAAAAATGAGCCGGTCTGTCACTAGCCATATGTATAATTTCTGTGTATATACATAATTATATACTTACTAATACATGCATGCAAAATGTCAGCTTCACAACTCTGGCCTTGCATTCATGCCTCAGAGGCTTCACCCTTCTAGCATCCATGGTTTGGGCAGGTATCTTGTCTCACTTATATCACTGTAAGTGCAAAGTCTAATAACTTCACTGCATTTATTCCAGATGGACACTTGCAACTGAAAGCAGAATTTGGGCTAAACAAAGCAGAGATTGAAATTATTTCTGTCCCATTTGCACCTGAGATGAACTGGGAAGTTGTGGGGCTGGTTAGATCTCACAAAACTGGCTGCTGGCCTCTATGAAAAGAGAATCTCAGCTTCCCATCCTAAACAAGTATTGTTTTTTGGGTTTGTTTGTTTTTTCCATTCAGGTACAAGTTCCCCAGAATCAGAAGAGTTACATTTGAGTAAAGCTGGAACAAGCAAATCAGGCTCTACGAGTATAGTGTTTTTGCCTCTTGAGAAGATCATGTCGAACACACAAAGCAACACGTTACACATATTTAATCAGTGCCTTTAATCCACGGGTCTCAAGACACTTTATGATGAGTTAGCAATACCAATCCTCATCCCATTTGCTATGTAGACTAACACATTTTTGTGTGTTTGAAAGGCAGTGAAGGCTGAGAAGAGTATTGAACTGCTATGTTTTAAGGGCCAAGTGCTTTCACTCGATATCTGTGCAGATGCACGTGTAACCTACATATGTTATGTTGCAATATCTGACGTGCTTGGCCAAAGAATGGGAGAGAAACAGTGGGAAAGAGACATGGATTGTACCTGCAATGCCCTGTCTCTGCACAAATACACAGAGCAGGACTAGGGAGATCAGTTCTCAGAGCCAAAAAATAGGGGGCATCTGTTACTGCATAGGCTTGGTATTGCTTTCCAAACTGGTTTACAAAAGGTTTACTGAGCTCATCTACACATGATATTAATGTGGCACAATAAACTCTGTTGCAGTTCACACTGGAGTTTATTGCTCCTGGGGGCAGTGTTTACACGTGTTCCTGGGACTGCAGCACATTGAGCCAGTGCGGCATAGCCCCAGCTGATGGAGGGCTGGTGGGGGGTGGCCTGCCAGACTGGAGCTACCCCTGCCCCCAGCTCAACAAGATGCAGAGGGGCTGACTGGGGCATGAGGATGCTATAGTGTGGAGCTACCTGGTGGGCAACCCCCACACCATAGCACCCTCATGCCCCAGATTGCCCCATAACTGTCTATGTGTGTTCCACTGCATGTAACTAGGCTGCTGTAGGATACTACTTCTGTTGGGCAGAACTATCTTATGGTGGAATTAATTAATTTACTGCAGCCTAATAGTGCCACACATGTAGATGGTGATGCATTACTGCAGAGCTAATTAGTCCACAGTAAAGAGTCCCATGTAGATGCATCCATCGTGGGCAATCCACACTGTGACAGCTAAGTTAATCAAAACATGATAGGGAAAGGTTATAAAATATTAGTGTTAATGAGAGCCCTATGGTCTTGGTGGTTGATTGGTGAAAGACCAAGACCGGTGGGTCCCAAGACAGGATTTTCTTGCAAGATCATAGCATTAGTTTAAGATAAAAAGGAGTGGATGAGACACACGAATGGCAGAGGTTTGATTTGGGATCGGGATCTGGCTAATAGTAATATGAGGAGGTAGCTGCACTTCAGGACCGTGTCACATAGGACACTTTGTATATGTTAAATGCACTTAAAACATCAGTGTCCAGGTGTTGAAGCAGTTCAAGTTAAGTGCACTATGAAAACTTATGATTTTTCAGGTGGGGAGTGTCTCTAGATCACTCACATTAAGTAACATTTTCAGCTACTGTCAGCCTGCTTCATGGAGATAATATGAGCAATTTGCAGTTCTCCAGCATCCCAGGATGCATTGCTTCCACACTTCACACTTCTACTCCAAGGGCCAGTCTACTCACCAGCCCAAACCCTACTGATCATAATCTCAGGGGAGGAGAGAACCATTAACACAACTGTCAAAGGAACTGGCTGGATCAGTTAGGTCCTTGTTACATGTTGCACTTTGAACTGCTTAATTGCTGATCTGTGTTAGTGGTAGCTTGAGTTTGGAGCAGTGTGCCTTAAAGCTAA